ATATATATATATATATATAAAATGAGGCAGCACTTCAATATAGTGGACGGACGTCAGGTTTCTTCATAACAATATATACTGAAGCTGTTATGCTGACTGCCTAAGGTTTTATTGATGGTGGTATTATTGTTGTTGTTGTTATTAGTATCGTTATTAGCATTACTATTATTATTTAGACAGCACTGTGAGAATTAACCTATCAATTTCTAAAATGTACTGGGTGAAATGCCAAGCTGAAAATACAATGAAATGAAATAGAGGACTATGACCAAAATAACTCAGAAGCACCAAGTGCTGGTGGAAGAGCACCCCAGCCCCGTGACAGTCCTGTTAAATCCTGTCCCTCTATGCAGAAACTTCCTGGCTCACAGGGATGCAGAAACAGGGGGCAATGAGAGGTCCTATAGTGCTTCTGGTTTCATTGTACATCGGACAGTTTCAGAAAACCAAGAGGCCCCTGGGTGTGACAGACAGTAGATTATCTGGGAGTTAGAAGGAGGGTGCAGCAGGTTCGTCACCTTTGTTGGCCCACCAGCTTCTCCTAGGAGAAAACAGCATCTTTCTCAGAGTTGGGATAAGGTTGAAGCAAGAAAGAAGTCGGTCCCTCAGATCAAACTGCCTGTAGCAGGCACAGGGAGACCCTTGAGAAAAACTGCAGAGCCTGTGATCACCTCACATGCTCCTCCTTTTTTCCATTGTGCCGGGAAATGCCCCTTGTAAGGGTGAGGCAGGAAATACACTTTCATGAACTGGTTTGATGCTACAGATAAAGACACTTTGTCTTTATATACACCTTTTCCACATGAAATAGTATCTGTCCCAACATATCTTTCAAGATGGAGGTCCAAGAGGGTGCCCCCAAAGACAGCCTTTGTGCCTGCAACCACCCTGTGGCATCAAGCCCTGCCAACACGTTCGCGGCTGCTAGGCCTTCCTGCAGCTCAGCAGCAGCTTCAGGGTGCATCACTGTTCTCTCAGCAGATGACTTAGTTAGCACTTCAAACCTGACAGAAGTTACAACAATGACAGGCAATAATGACACCACTTCAAATTACAAGATTTGTAACATATGTATCTGTACACTGGTTACGGTAATGTACATAAGTAGCCCACCACACAAAATCAGAAGAAATTCATAAAATGGTTGGCTGTTGATGGTATTTTTTAGTTGTTTGTCCTACACTATCAACCTTTTTTCACCTTAGCACTTATTTCAAATTTTTACCTGCTTGGTGGAGAGGACAAGGACCTCTGTAGATTTACACCCGAATTCATGTCATGGTAGTATGGCTGACTCGGAAGCTCTCCAATTGGGAAATTCACTCCAGTTCCCTGGGTTATGGGTGCTGAAAAACACATCATCATAACAAGTCAAAGATAATCTTCTATCTTTTCAACCATCTTTTCATTTTTAACACTGGGAAAAACATCAAGATGTTACTACCTACATGTATCTAATTTTCTGCCTCTTGCAGAAACCAAGTAGAGACAAGTGCTATTAATGTCTATATATCTAAAAAGCTAATTATCTTCCACAGACACTAGAAATCCCTTAGTTGTTATGCAGATTAAATGTGTTTTTTGTATAAAAGATAACCTGGAATCACCAATATGAAAAAGGTAACACAAAACACAGCACAAAGTCAAACCTTCTGTAGAGGGACTTTTATAATGAATGAGACAGGGTTTATAAGGACAGCTAACGTCAGTTATTAAAGAACTGAAATAACTGGAAAGAACAAACTTGGGGATACACAAACTCTTTTTCCCGTAATGTTAATTCTTTTGTATTAATAACAGCCTTCTGTGCTGACAGCATATTTCGCTGCCTTCTTTTTCTTTCACCCAGGGCCACAGGTACGGCTTTGCATACGTACACCTACACACAAACACACACACTCAACGCTATCTTCACCTCCTTACAGAGCCCGTGTACCATACATCTTGGCATTTCAAGAATAAATTATATGTTACATATTGTGGTGTATTTACCTTTGTTCACCGTCTGCGCATTGTGCATTTTAACTACCTTTGGCACTTAAAAGAATAATTGCACGTTGTGTAATGTATCTGAAGGTTTGTATTTTTCCTGACAGTTCAAGTACAGCTCTGTTGCGGCTTGAGGTTAAACAAATGCATGGTAAGAAATCCCACAGAAACCACATGCTTTAGAGCTTATTATTAGAAGTATATCAAGTATAACAACTGCAGAAGGTACAATTTCATAACATAGCTACAATATTGATTCTTTTTTAATCTGAATGGCCTGATATTTGAAAATATATTTAACCACCTGACAACTATAAGCAAGCTGTGTTTTGCACATCCTCAGCCTCCTAAAACAGCAAAATCATACCTTCAGCAAGCACAAAAAAGAATATATCTTAACATTGCAGGATGGCAATGCTCAGCATTTTGCTGAAGAACTTAACATAATTGTTAAATATTATTAATTGTCGAATATTATTTTCTAACCACAACAAACTAAACGGCACATGCATCTTAAGCCTCACTAACTTAATTAAATTCCTCAAGCATCCTGACCTGGCATGAATTAACTCCTGTGCAAAATTAGGACAGAAGGTTTTGGAAATTTCTGTTTCACAGGCTTTGTTCTCACCTTATCAGAAAAGAGATTTTCTTGGACCATTCAGTTGTTATAATGTTGGTGTCATCACTGAGGACACTTCTAATTATAACTCTCAAGTATTATTCACTTCCTAGTGAATTCTTAAGAGGAATACTTTAATAGTGTTGATATTAAAGGGAGAAATGATGTGCTTAGAAAGCAATGTCAAAGGAAAATATGCACTGCCTTTATGACATATTATTATAGCAAATTTTTAGATGTCAACAAAATCTATCATCTTATTTATACTCGCTTTTTCTTTCTGCAGTAACAGCTTAACTAGTCCTTTTTTATTTACATTTTGTTACTTTTTTCTTGCATGTTCATGTGTATTACATTTCTGATGCCAAAACAAGCCAATGTAATTAGAAATTCAATTACAGCCAGTGCTATGAGTAAAAGAACCACAAGTGTATAACACATTGTTAGTCATCCTTTACATCCATGCTATGATTTTTCTTTTAAGAGCTACAAATTCAAAAGCAAACTAAAGGAATTATCAGATGGTTTAGCAAAATCCAAAGACGTGTAGGACAACGTTAAAAAGCTTCAAGTTGAACAAATAGAAGGCTTTGTTACATATGGTAATTTTATGGACATACCAGTCCATTAAGCTATGCAGAGGGACATGTAACAAATTGTTTCAATCTTTAAATATGAAAGTGATAAAAGAAGACTTCTGTTTGTTTCATTACAAACACATGCAAGACAACTGTAATATTGTGGTAAAACACATCAAAATTGTGCATGGTTATAGGCATTTCCTATACACCTTACATCTCAGGGAGAACCAAGAAAAAACCCCTTCACTTCATTATAACAGGCTTTGGAAATGATTAAATGTAAACAATAACTTACTTCTTGACACCCTCACAAGTTCTGACACGTTGAACACTCCGGATTTTACAAAACTGTCCTCAAGGTACACTGAAAGAGATCATAATACCATAATCAGTATAATGAGTAGATTAATAAATAACTATAGATAAATATATATCACAGCTAATAACAGTATCAACATAGTCTCACAACTATAATACACAGATCAAAGTACACTGAAAGCCAACCACAGGATTTAATGAGAGCTGAAATTCAGGCAGAATTCCGAGGTGCAAAAAGTTGAGGAGTTCTGAAAAAGTAATTTTTTAATATGTATATGAGAAACTAACAAGCAATATACTGAATTCCTAGCTAAGCATCCAGAAAAGTGTTCAAAAACTAGTTGCTTTTATTAGTATCTTCAATTTTTAAGTCAGTGTTGAGCTAAGAAATGTATCAGCTGATCAATGTCACCACAGAGCAGTTCTGTCCTCACATACATTTCTGCTACATAGTTTTTTACTTAACTCTTACCCTGCAGATAGTGACTTTACCACCTTCATTATCAAATCATCACCTTTGAGGCAGAAGAGGGTTTTACTATTATTTCCAATAAAAGCAGGGACTGGGCAACACAGATGAACTATTCAGGGTGGGATTTATATATCTAGAAACTTATGTTTAAGAAACCATGTAATATTGTGTTGGCTTATGTTTACTTATTCTAAGATAAATGTATATGATAAACCTTACTTGCCATGAAATTCAGGCAGGCACAACTTGGAGCACTGCAGTGAAACAACAGCTGATAATCAAGACTTATCTCAGTAGTATAACTTGATAAACTTATAAAAATGGAGCTGAGAAACCCAGATTTCTGTGGAATTCTCATATCAATAATCACTGCATAAACTTACTTGGCTGAATTTGAGATTACTTGATTTCATAGTAGGAATGCCAAGCATTTACCAACAGAAATATTTAGATCTATCCTTGGTGCACATTGCTGCTCCAATAGTATTACTTTTTTGTCTGCTTTAATCTGAGATGGTGCACTAAGAATTTCTTACTGCAGTTTCTCTAGTCTCCTTTCCGAGTCAACACAGCTTTCTTCTTTTGAAAATACACAGTCAATTTCTGTTCCAAATGTCTGAATGAATAAAAGCACAAGCAAATAAAAAAAAATGCACCTACTGGAATATTTACTGATTTGGAAAACAATGGTTCACTACTGTTCTCCTCTGGTTTCTTTTGGCAATTACTCCTTTATTTTAAGAAAACGCTGCTGCTATAATCAGAAAAGTGATTGTAAAAGCACTATATTTCACTTCAAAGATCTGCCCTTGCTTCATCTGGAAGAGTCCCTACTTTTCAGGACCAAAAGGTGAGGGCAGAGGCAAAAAGAGCAGCTTTCACTGCTAGCAGTCTTACTAGGTCCACAGAGCCGCCTGACCCAGCACCTCTGATATTATTTCCCAGTGCAGGTATAAACAATGCACCTAACAACTCAAGCTGAAAGAGGGTGAACGCACCCAACTAAACACATTCCCTGACATCTCTGTTTTGCTGTTACACTTATAAGCGAATGTCAATCTTCCACAGCTGAAAAACCACCCCAGAAGCAAGTGCAGTGGCTGTGCAGAGCACCACTCTGGTCTGATGATGTGGGATCATCCTGAACGATGTTTGCCAACACAATCATCTTCTCATCTTCCAGTCAACATCACTTCATACGATATCCTTGTATGCCTTTACTTGCACTAGTAGCTCTGCAGGCCCCCCTCTCTTTTTTCTTTACTTTCTTTCACGTTCCTCTCCCTCTCTTTTTCAACAGCTTCTCTCCATATCCACTACTTTTAACTCTCTTATCGTCCTTCACCTGGATGTTGCAGGCCTCACTGCAGCCATATTCACCACCAGTTCCTAAGGAATACAAGACTTCCATCTTCTGCATTCTCTTGCAACCTTTCTCCATGTTTCTCCTATGAGTGAAGACATGACATGGCTTCCCAAATATTTCCTTACTTATTTGACAGAACTTTGCATACCCATATCACAAAAAGTTGCAATTAGTTAATCTTTTGTTTTCCCTTCTTCCTCAGTTTTCATTTTTTAACCTCAGAACAGGCAAGCTGGATGAATGCAAATGGCAATCTTTCCCTTCTCTGCCTGTTTTCTTCAGCAGGAAGAGTTTGAAGTACTACATGGAAGGGAGATTTCCAAAGAAAAATTTGCTTTCTTGATTTTAGTTGGCTTGTAAGTGAAGTGTGGCTTAAAGCCAGTGTACAAATGTGCGGCCATGTCTGGAGCTGGTAATGAGACAAGACTGAACGTCTCTGCTGCTTATCCAAATACCACTACTTTGAAGCACAACTTCTCTCACTCCTGTTAGGCTAACTTGAGAGGAGCTTTACTCAAGTGTAGATTAGTCAAGTTATTATTACAGTGAGAACAATCCCCAGGGTCCATATTAAAAATGCCCATGTAGTATTGTATATGTAAGAACACAGATGTATATGTGCGCATGCACACACATATACATCTATATGCAAACACATGCATGCACAGACACACATATTTCATCTTCAGATTTCTGTCATGAATTTTTAGTTTTTCTCACTGGCAATACTGAGAATACCCACATAACACAAAAAGAAATACAGTGTGTGTCTCTCCTTGTGATAATGAAATGGGAATAGGGAAAAATTCTGTTACTGAGTGGTACCACTATTTATCACCCCCTCATAGAAGCATGCATTGTTGACTGATAGATCACTGTCTTTCACCCAGATTTCACCCTGCCTTGGATGGTCCAAAAATAATGACATCCATAGATATACACAAATGTTTTGCCTGGCATTAGGAAAGAGGAGGAAACTGCTATTGTCAATCTCAACTTAAAAAACAGCTTGCTTTTTTTCTCTATGTAATGTGACAAAATATTATTAAAAAATTGACACAACAATAAACAGTCTATGTCACAGGCACTGAGCAACTTCATCCTGAGCCTTATGTTCTGACAGGGAAGGTGGATTCCAGTGGTGCCTCCGAGTGCAGAAAAATAAACACAGTATGTTCAGTTCCAGCACTAGTGGACTTTAACAGTTGTAACTAGTTAGGAAGACAATCCGTAGTGGGTATGTTGCTTGGCTCCCAGCTGTGCACTAGGAAAATGTTCTATGCCATTAAACTGCAGGAATTTGTTGCAGAAACATGCATGCTACATATGATAAACAGCAAGACTGAATGCAGCAGGGCAGTATAGGACATTTTGATCTTATGATGTGAAACACTGTCTTTTACCTCATGGAGCTGATCTCCCTGGCGAATAAGAGTTGACATTTATATTCACATTATTACACTGCATGCAAGAAAAAATACGGTGATACTGTATAGTATACATCTTACTGTTTTTTTCATTAAACATTCCTTAATGCATTGCTTGCATTAACACATTAAAGAGCCTTAAGTTATCATTCTTGGTGTGTGTACAGTACAGAAACCAATGCACTTGATAAAAGTCTATTGCTTTATTCCTCATAGAGGAGTAGGCCATCTTTTGATGGTCGTGATAACACTTAGCTGTTTTTATTGTTCAAACACAATACAAGCACTGAGTATTGTCATTTACTAAAATTCACCTTGCCTGAGAGAGGACACTCTCCAAAATGCATTTCACTAATTGTCATTTGTCTTAAAAATCTGAGTTCTACAAAAGAACATTTTTGCCAAAATCACCATAGTGCAATTCTGTGTAAACAGTAACTTCCAAACCCATGAATAACACAGTATTTTTGTCTGTATTTGCTTCCAGGTTTTGTACAGGATGAGTATAAAATCTGTCTCCTCTCCTTACCTTTTTTACAGAAAAGTCATTTCTGAAAAATACATTTCCCAAACAACACTACAGTGCCACAAGTGATGAAAGATAAACAGGTTAAGATCGAGCAGCCGTTCTGATCAAACTCTGCTCAGTCAGTAACAGGAGAAACCCTCAGCAATGCCTTCAACTGCTGTAGAAATTATTCTGTCCCAGTCCTTATACATCTTCCACTCTATTCCTATGCTATGCAATCAAGAGCTGAGTTATAAGTATAGCTTTTAATCATGCTAAGACTTAAAAGGGAAAAAAAAAAAAGTTGTTTAAATCTACTGAAAAATATTTTCAGTTTGCACTAACTTGTACTGTAAAGGGCTTCTCATATTACTTAAAAGCTTACCAGTGACGTCTGGCTTTACAAATCTTTAACCAGACTTTTTTATGTCTTCTGATTTAATTGTACTTTTATGAATAGAACGTCTGTTTACGTTCTGCTGCATACTGACTAGTGCCAAAACATAAAATTGCTTCCTGGCATCATTAAACATCTATTTTTTTCACTGATACAGCCTTGATTTTGAGCAACTTAAATAACATAAGAATCCAATCAGTGCAGGAAACAATTTGTATTACTGTACTTTTATTCTAGATCTATAAAAAGAGGAATTATACAGCAGCAGATAGACCTACTAGCAGTGAGATGGGTTCAACATCAGGAACTACTGTGAGAAGAAAGGCTGGAAGCTTCAGCCTGGTCTACAAAATGCTAGCAGGGAGCTGTAGCTTGACTTTAAGTTATGCAATGCAATGTTCTGGATGCTGCTAGAGGTTTCTTTGACTTCTGAAACTGCTACGATCAAAGATTAAATCATTTCATTGTATAGCTTCTTTTGCTTGAGTTTTTGAAAACTGACGTTTTAAGGATCAGTTCTTGCTGCTTGCTGCAATATCTAACTTCTACAGGAAGCTCTTTAGTGTCAGCAGGGATCCTAGTGGCATATAGCTACTATTCACAGTCAGAACTCGTAGTGAAAAATTAGTCTCACACTGTTGACAGTAAGTCAACACACAGTCAGCAGACCTGCAGTTTGTTCTCTTATTGCATGCATTTTGAAGGCAGTGTCTGTAAAAGACTATCAGACACAGGTTCCCACTGAACCAGAATTTCTTAAAAGCAGTTGAGGGTGGATAACGTAAGCCAAGGAGTGACGGAGAAGATTTCAGTGATGATGTCATTTGAAACAGTTGGACTAAGGTCTGTCCAGAGAATGAGACTATTTTGGTATTG